CAATCAGATCATAAAGGGCTTTCGCTACGTATTACAATCACAGAATTAACTTAGCGGTATTAAATCGCATCTCTCGAATCTTGACTTAACCATTTATAAATTAACCTGCCTATTGAAACTAAGCTTAAACATCAATTCTCATATGTTGAATATTGAATCAATATTGCATAACTCATACAATTAAACTAGGCCTAATCTAATTGCATAGCAGTAAATCAATCAATAGGAAACCAATCACAGCATTGACAATCATCAACAATAATAAATTACCCCTTCTTATTATTTATGAATCCCCACGAACCCTAGAAATAAACTACTCACACATATTGAAATCTAAACTAAGCGAAGTAATAAATAAGACATGATTAATCAAAGCAATTACATTACTAGAAATAAAAGGGAAAGAAATCGTTACCAAAATAAACGGAATATTGAATTGCATTATCCAAAAGTGTTGAGAGAACAAGAGTATTAATCTAAAGCTTAAAACTAAAATCTGGAATTTAATTAATGAATGACGTAATTGTTTCGCTTAACAAAAGCGTATTTATACTAAAGCTCGAAAATCCTAAAACTAAACAAAGTAAAAATCGTCATTAAAACTCTCCAATAACACGTGCCCGGTCGGGCGCCATCTCTCCCGGCCGAGCCCGCCTTCGGGCAAGAACCTCTCGCTCGCTCGCTCGCTCGGGCGCCATCTCGGGTGGAGAGCTGCTTCTTTTTATCTGCCTCGCTCGGCTGGGCGCGCCTCAAGGCGAGGGCATCCCCGGTCGGGTGAGCATTCGGGCTCCATGGACTTCTTTGATTGGGCTTTTACTTAGCCCAATCCAGATTTCCTCTTTGGGTCTTTAAAACTTAGTCCATTGCCTCAGTCTCTTCTTCTTCGCCGAGCCTTTAATCACTGGTTTGATTGCTCCAACGCGGTCTTGGGCTACGGAATGTGGTCATATGAATGCGATCCTAATCCAATGCTTGTAGTGGTCTAAATAAGTCCGGGAAAATGCTCCAAATCTGCAATTTCCTATAAAACAATACCAAAGCTACGAAAACACTAGAAAACGCATATTAGTAATAAAAGTGGCTCCGTAGAGCCAAAAATACTCTTAAATATGAGCAAAGGACAGGGGTAAATCACTATATAAAATGAACATATCAATAAATAGAGTATATAGATAACTTTATGTACGAAGTATAAAAAACCGTGTAAGTAAATTTGGAGGGGGATAGTCGTTCACGCAATGCGTGCGCATCTAACCTTGTTTAAAGATAATGAACTGTAAAACTTCAGAGATCCTGACCTAACCACTCATCATATCTTATATTTTATAAAATAATAAAATAAGTATACATTAGAAGTATAAAATAAATTTTTATATACCGTAACATCAAGAAGAACCATCTTCCAATTTTTTTTTTTACTATTTTTGACATGTTGAATTTCGTATAATCTTATAATCATTGCCTTCACATTCCAAAATTTAGAGTACGGGTTCAAATACATGAAAGGAGCGTATGCAACTGACATCCTGCAAATAAAAAAAGATGAAAATGATTAGTCTTTATCTAACGAAATCACAATTGTATACGAAAACCAAAAAATAAGTAAATACCTTGTACCTACTTTACATTGCTTCTTTAATCTTGTAAATATAATATTAAGAGAAGATCTAAGTTTACGCGAAGAATGAAAAAATTAGAGTTTGAATGAGGAAAGGATGAGCATTTAATGCTTTTCTCATATTTTGTTTTTGAGAAGGAAGTTTACTGCTAATTTGATAGTAGTGGGTGTGTCAAAAAAAATAAAAATGATAGTAGTGGGGAGGTTACGTTGTAAGCAATGCCTTTATTTATTTATTTTTTTATTTTTAATAATCAGTTGTAAAGTAACCGTCAAAAATTTGGATATTTTCTTAGAATTTCATTAATTATATATTATCTTTGTAATTCAATAACTGTCAGAATATATTACCTTTGTAATTCAATAATTGTTAAAATAAAAACTACTGTTAGTAAATAAGTAACTGTAAAGAAGGGTATTTTTGGAAAACAAAAAATCCCAAACAAAAAAGGGAGCTCACTTAAAGAGTAACAAACATAGATTCTCTCTCTTCTCTCCTCTTTCTCTTACACAACTTTAAATTATTTCCTAATTTCTTATTTCTCTCTCCTTTATTTTCTCTCTCTCTTAAATTCATTAATTATTTTGTTTTTGTTTTAATTCCTTCATCACCATAGATTGAATTCCTTCATCACCATCGTTGATCACCATAGATTAAATTCAAATTTCGTTTTCTTCAACCTTCAATTTGAAGCTTTGTTAATGGAGTTTCTGCAATGTAGTGAAGTTGAAAATGGCGGCTTTAACAAGGAAAAGGTGGTTAAGATGACGGAGATGATTATTTTCCGTTGAGATTCCATTATCTAAATCACCATGGCTAGGTTTGAGTTTTGGAATATGTAGCTTTCCTTTTCTTTTTTTTTTTCTTTTTTTTTGTTAGTGATATTTGTGTATTTTATTATGAACAGTTCTGTTTTTGGTTATATTTTGGTATTTTGAACATTTTAAGTTAAAAAAATGATCGTATGATACGTTTCCTATAAATATATATTTTTTACTGACATATATTTTTGGAATTATGAACATTTTAATTATACTTCTGAACATGTAATACATTACTTATGAACCTTGTTTTTTTTTTTTTTTTTTTTTTTTTTTTTTGGTTTTTGATCTATGTATATTTAATCATTTTACAAAAATTGGCATGCTATACTTCATAATTTATATATCTGAACATTTGATTCTTTGCATATGAAAATTTATTTTGTTTTCGATTTATGTACTTCCTCCGTTCTAGTAATATTGGAACAACTGGACTTTTGCACTATTCATCATGCTTGTTTGACCACAAATTATGATTTATACGTAAAGTAAAATATAGTCATGTCGGGTCTTGTTAGATTCGTCTCGTAAAATACTTTCACAATATCAACTTTTCATAATTTTTTACTATTATATAGTTATAGATATTTAACATATAAAATGTGCTTTGAGATGCGTAATTTCATCCTTGTTGCAATATTTATGGAACAAAGGAAGTATTTTAAAAACCTTTTTAAGTTTTGTAATTATGAACATATTATGTAGGATATCTGAAGATGTATATGTATTTTATGAACATTTGAGTTAGATCTATATATGAACATAAGTTAATTTGGGTTAAGGAATTATGAAATTCAATTGGGATATGATATATAAAATGAACATTTAGTATATTTCAAATGAACATTTAGTACATTATAATGAAACAATATGATCTATTTTTCGTTAACAATTATCTATATAAAGTTTTAAACTATAGTTTTTGAACATGAACATATAAAATATGAACATTACACTATTAAAATTTGAACATATAATTTTTGAAAATAAACATTGAAATTTTTAAATATAATCATTACATTATTTTATGATGAGCATCAATAAATATGAACATGACACTACTCGAATTTGAACATTTATTATTTGAAAATGAACATTGAAATTTTAAATATGAACACCAACACTATTTAATAATGAACATCAATTTTTTGATAGAAATTTGTCTGACTCGGGATAATTTAATAGTTTTGTTACATAAACTGAACATTTAGTGCATATAAAATGAACATTTCATTATAAAATATGAACATATAAAATTGGATGTGTTTGTTCATTTTTTATGACGTATTCATATTTATTTACTAAATGTGCATTTTTGATAAAGTGTTCATATTTTTTTTTCGGATTTTTCATGATATACCACTGAGTTTCTTCAAAATTCACCTTATACCACACAAAATTTTTTAATTCACCATATACCATTGAGTTTAACATAAATGTCACAACATGCCATTTTCGTTAACTCAGTTAGTCATTAACGTTAATTGTGCCATGTGGCAGCTTGTAATTGGTTGCGTTTTAAATTATTAACTTTTAAATAATTATTTAATTAATTATCAAAAAATAAAAATAAAAAAAAATAATTGAAAAAAAATTAAAACCACCACCAACTCCCAGCCATCTCCTCGCCCCCAACCAGCACCTAGCCCAGCCCCCCCCCCCCCCCCCCTACCCAGCCTTGAACCACCACCGCGCCGGCGGCACCCCTCACCTAGATGACACCCTACCCTCCTATCTTTCCCCACCCGACACCACCCCATGCCCCCTTTCCCCCATCGGAAGTCCTAAATTGACCCTTACTTTTCCCTGCTTCTCTTTCCCCAAAAACCACATGTAATCAAACCATTCGAGTAATGCGAAATTGAATTCATTCGATTCTCAACAAATTCTTGTTCATAATCACTCGTTTTGGGGATAATTGAGTAGGGACCAAACACTGACGACCAAACCCTTGGTTTTTGATCGAAATTAGGTTTAGAATCTGGGGAATTTTATGGGGTTTCTTTACTTCAATTATTGGCAACAAGTGGAGGAGATTCACGGGAATGGTCAATGGTTCACTAAGTGAATCAACCAAGTATTCAATGGAGGTTGAAAATGGCGAGATAATTGAGGGTCGGGGTGGCCTAGGCTAAGGGAGGAGGGTAGGGTGTCGTGGGTGAGGGGAAAGAGATGGTGGTCGGCTCGCCGGCGACAAAGGAGGTGGACGTCGCTGTCGGCACGGGGGAGAGGGCAAGATTCCGGCAGCCCGCAGGGAGGGATTGCGAGGGAGGAGGCTGGGCAAGGCCGCCGGGGGGAGGGGGAGCTGGGCTGGTGGGGGAAGGGGTGTCGGGGTTGGTGGAGTGAGGAAGAACCAAGTTGTTTTTTTTTTTTAATTCTTTATTTAACTAATTAATTAGATAATATTAATAAGAGCCAATAAGTGACAGCCACGTGGCATAATTAACCCTAATTTCTAATGGCGTTAACGGCACACTAACGGCAGTTACCATTAATGGTATTCTGTGTTAACGTACGAAAACTCAATGGTATATGGTGAATTAAAAAATTTTGTGTGGTATATGATGAATTTTGAAGAAACTCACTGGTATATCACGAAAAATCCGTTTTTTTTCACTAAATGTTCATATTACATGCAGTGAATCTATTTCTAGGTGCCTAATGCATCCCAAAAACCAGAAATTCAAAACAATAAATAAAAACATACTCTAGTATTATCCAATTCCGCCATGGGAGTAGCAGAGTAACAGCAACAGCAAAATCCATCCTCCACCATTCTACTCTCTAACATTCTCTGCATTTCTGCAACTCCATAAAATGCTACTCTCCTTTCTCTCTCCTCTTCACCTCTCTTCCACCACTCCCACCACTCCCGCCGCTTCACCTCCGCCGCCGTCCGCACCCAACCACCACCACCACCTCCACCACCGTCAGCACCGCCTAATTCTCTCTCCTTAAACCCAAACAACCTCAATTCTTCATCTCCTCCTCCCTCTCTCTCTTGCGCTCTTCAGTGCCCCCATTTTTACTCGTATGTTCTTCAATTTCTTCCTCTGTAATTCTTTGTTTTGAAATTCGGATTAAATTTTGTTGGAATTTGTTGATTTAATTTGATTTTGGTTAGTTGTTCGGGTTGTACGCACGAGTATGACCTCCACCATCCGAGTATTGTTGATGAGGCTGCCGAGTTCTTCAAACGCTATGGTGTTTCCGATTTCACTTTCGACAGTTGTAGACTGGTATGAAAATTGCCGATTAGTTAATTTCATTAATTAGTTTATCTATTTAATCTTTGTTTTGTTTTAAAATAATTTGTTCTATTTGATGTTTTATGCAATTCATATTTGAATTTGTTCATTGCTAACTAATATGTTTGCTATTGTTCGAAAATTCAAATTATTCTCTCCGTCCTACTTTGATAGGCAACATAAAGTCGACTATAATAGGCTACACTAAGTGTGACTTTTAAGGGATTCGCTCAAACTACTATAATTATACGTAATACAATGGTTGAGAATATTTTATTATGATACTGCAACTATTTATTAATTTATTATTTATTTTTTTAAACTGTAAGTATACAAAAATTAATTGTTTCATTAAGTATATGTGAATAGTGACCTGTTATTTGGGACATCTAAACATAGAATTGTACTTCATAGCTTATAAAAGTAGGGGAGGGTGGTTCATGCAAATGCACACAGGGCATATATGATTTTTATGTTATGTTTCCGAATTATGAAGATGATTATTGTACAAAACCCAAGATGTTGTTTATAGAATCTCTTGGTATGATTTACTGTAGTACATTGTGAGTTATGTGCAATATTATGGAATCAATTGCATTTCAATGTTAATTATGTCAAATTTGGAATGCAGTATGGTTGGAGATGTCGGGCAAAGCTTGCTGTACGTGGTTCATCAGCTAACCCTATGATCGGCCTGTATGAGGAGGGTACGCATAATGTTGTGGACATTCCTGAATGCAGAGGTTTGACTTTTGAGCTCTATCCCACAGTCCTACACTCCTACATGTTTAAAACAACATTTTTGACTGTATTACTATCATGTTCGACATATTACTTTGACAAAAGAAGTTGGGCCTAGCAAATTGATTGCATTTTACCAAATTAATTTCAGATTAGCAAAAATTGGTTGATTTGAGCAAAATTAAGTTGAACAGAACATGGGCTTCCAGCCTTCTTGTTCATTCATATGTTGATTGATTAAATCATTTAATTGTGTCTGTTAATTGGGTTGCAGCTCATCATCCCAACATTAACGCAGCTGTTGAGTTGCTTCGAAAAGGTTTGTTTTTGAAAGCTTGATGTAGCGCATATTTTCTCTTACAATCTATGAATATATTTGAAATAGTGTTATATACTTATTTATTTTAAGTTTAATTGTATGGTTTCTTAGGTATTGCGAAATTGGAAGTAGAACCATATGATGAAGACTTGGGGACCGGTGAATTGCGATATGTGCAAGTTAGTGTTGATATGCTATTTTTTAGATTTAATTAGCTATTTCATATTCATAACCTAATCCATATTATTGAATTTGAGTGTGTGCAGATGGTCGTAACAACACATAGCACATCCCTTCCGTTTTCTGAAAGATATAGAAATGGTTATCATCTATACACATGCTAGCTTAAATTTCAAGTGTTTAGTTTGAGATGTTTTGTTTATATTTTATTCCGTTGAATCTTTTGGAGCCTGACATACCTTTATTTAGGTAAAGTGCAGGTGACATTAGTTTGGAACTCAAGAAGTGAGACGACACAAAGCTCTGAGAAACTTAATTCATTGGCTAATGTAAGTTGTTTAACTAGTTTAGGAATTCTTAAGCAAATTTTATGCTACTTATGCATCACCTTTGAGAAGTATTTTTGGGAAAATCATGTCATGGGAAATTAAAGAAATATAAAATCTAATTGGATTAGTGACCATATTTTAGCAGAATTCTTAGGGTGATAGCTTTAGGCTTTAACATGTGATAGAGCAGTGGCGTATCCAAGTTTTAAAATCAGGCTATGCACAATTACATAAAGGAATTTAGATAACATCATAAGATGAGTCTAATGCTAAATAATCAACATATAATTCAAAGTTGCAAGATAAAACCCTACATAAAACTCACACCATCCCCAAATTAAATGTCTATTTCACTTTACGCGGTATTTGACCATCAATATGTTGACAAAAATTATATAAAGTTGATATTACTTCGTCTAAACAACATATTATTGAAACAAATCCAACGATATCTTAGATTACTATTCGTATTTTTTTTTTTTTTTTATATATATATTAATGAGAATTAAATATGTAGTAAAAGTTGTTTATATTTGACTATCATCATAGAAACAAGCGCTTAATTTTGAAACAGTGGGAATAATAAATAAACCTACAGGAGTACAGGTGATTGATAAATTGCATATTGCAGTTTGTATGGAGCAGTTAATTAAAAATCTTTGATGGGAACATGAGTAGAGAGAGTTAGAGGAGATAATATTTCGTATACTATTTGCTTCAATACACTTTTTAGATGTTAACAGCTACCCACTATCCTTCTATTCCCTTATCTATATATGCTATATTTTGTTAAGTCAAACTCATCAAAAAATAAAAAATTAACATGATTTGAGGGGTATGCAGGTGCATAGCCTCAATGTTAGCTACATCCGCCCCTGTGATAGAGTGAAGAATCTATATATAAAATAAAGACAAGCCTTCAATCAATGCTTACTTTTGATGTTTATAGCCCAATTAGCCCTAAAGTCTCATACATAATGATTATATTGAACCCTACCTTCCCAGTCTCATACATAATGATTATATTGAACCCTACCTTCCCAAAGTTAAAATGATTTCATAGTTTTTGCTTTGTGTGGTTTAATTTAAAAGGCAAACAGGGAGAGAGATTGAGAGAATAATTTAACCGAATTTTGAAGAAGACTATTGGCAGCAGGAGGTGGTATTTTCTGCGATTTCTATACATGAGGAAATGCGTGTAGGGTATAGCTTTGCAGAGGGTATGGTCTGTACTTAATATTTATAAGAAAGAGTTCTAAACCTTTGACTAATGCTGTAGACAAGCTCTTGCTATAAGTCAGGGAACAATTATAAGGCCCATAAACATAAGGCTATTACTTTTACATGTCTTTCCGTAGTCTAGAGAGTGGAGATCCATAGATTCCACAAAGGAGAGAAAGAAAGATATTCCTATTTCTTACTTTTGTACTGTCACTTTATTACAAAAAGTACCATCAGATAGCCATATATCGGAGGGTGATATTCTTATATGAGAAGACCTCAAGACCCTCAAATATTTGTATTTGTGTGGCTTGTCAATCAACTAAGCACCATAGTTTTCTATCGGTAAAAGTACAAGCATACAACAACTGTATACCTTTGTATTTTTCATCATTTTTCCGCCCAAAAAGGGCAAAAACCCCAAATACAAGCATAGGTTGTTCATACAGACATACTACTTAGCACTCATTTTTATTTGGTAAGGACCAAGGTTTCTGAAACCTGGAACTTATTCTCCACCCGTTCAGATTATTTGAGAAAATTGATAAGCAACACCAAAAAAAAAAAAAAAAAAAAAAAGTTTGGTCACATTAATGACTTATAACGAGCTGGTTGAGTACTAGCTGCACATACTAGGAGGGGAAATGTGATCAAAGAACAATTTTTCTAGCTGCCCATTTTTATGTCAGTGTTTACACTCACTAAATAAGGGTGCTAGATATTTGGTGCGGACTATTTTGACACAGATATTATATAGAAATAAATATACAACATTTATTTTTGGTTGTAGATGGAAGCCCTAACATCGCCTATATGATGAAGGGGTGGATTATATTGAAAATATAATATACACCCGGGAATATGGTGCACCTAATGTTATTTTCTGCTCATTCAATATTTTGAGCTAAAAATATCAAACGAGTAAAAAAAAACCACCCTTTGGTGCACCTAGCTCTATGTCACCCAATGTCTAGGATTATATGGGTAGTGATGAAACTGAGGTGTGATTGACTAGAATAGAGTTTATATTTTATATTTTTATTTTTTTGGCCTATAATGCTGAGATAATGTAAAAATATAGTTTAATTTGATTAGAAGGAGGATATTTTTTTCTCTTCGTCAATAGTTGTTTTCTTATTGCTGTCTTCACGATAGTTTAGTTGTTAATGTTGTTATGGTCAAAAGTGTGCACTGATATTGCTCATCCCCTCTTAGAGAAACATTTATGTAAGGAGGGAGTAAATTGGAACAACATATAGGAAACATATCCAATGGGATGTTTTTAACATGAGAATGATAGATGTGCAACTTTTTTTTAACCTAATATTTAAACTTTAGAAGCTGAATGTGTATATCATTAATTTTTTTGTTGGAAGGAGAAAAAATAAAAAAAAATCACATTCAATTAAAAAAATTGCTCTTAAAATTTGAGCCAAAACAATTTGCACATTTGGCTCTAAAAATTTTGCACATCTAGTTTGAAAAATATGCACATTAGATCCTTCTCTCTTTATTTTATTTTTTATTTTTTTATTTACGAGCATTTTTTACTGTTGGTTTTATTAGTTATAATCTGTTAAGATTTATGCTTTCAGTTTCTACGGACTAATGGTGGCCAAAGGAGCAATGTTAACATAATTCATTCCATTTGGGCTAATTTTCAGACTTCAAACAGCAATGTAAGTAAATACTTTGTGTGTCAAGAATATGGTGAAAATATGGTGACATAAGCTGTTTTGCATACACAAATGACTAGTTTAAAGTACTTTTTGAGATATCCAACTCTTTCTTTATTTATTTAAATATTCTTTCCAGGAGATCCATTAATTTTTTGTTGTCTGGGTTTATGATGTAGAGCCTTGCAAATTGATATGGAGTAAATGAAAGGAGAAACGCAATGAAGTAAGAAAAACGGGATGGGAATAACATAAGCAAATTTGTGTAGGAGTTATATCAATTTACAAATTGCTAACTCAAATAATAATAAGGATTATATGGAGGAATAAATGTGGGTTACAACCCGGGATAACAAAATATACTCTTCCTTAATATAATAAAACTTCTCCTTATATTCTCTCCTTTTTAATTTTCTTTCTGTCTCTCTCTTTTTTATTTTTAATTTTTTTTTATTTTTTATTTTTTATTATTGTAAATAAAAATTTGAATTTATATGATCTCATTTGCTAATTATGTAGAGGATAAGAATTAACAATCATCATTATCCTCTCATATCTTATTCTAATATAAGCAATACAAAAATAGTTTTTCTAAATAAAGTTTGTGGTTTTCAACGCGCCCTCTCAAACTTTAACTTTCATTCCGTGTAACTCTCTTAATTGTTTAAATGTTTTATAAGATCGGGGCTTCGTAAATATGTCTGCAACTTGCTCAGCACTATTACAATACTTCAGTGTGATGTGTGATTGTTCCTTGTTTAACTTGATCTCGAAGAAAATGAAACCGAGTATCAATATGCTTGCTTCTTCCATGTTGTACTGGATTCTTAGCAAGTTTTATTGCTGACATATTATCTACATAGATCGTAGTTGGTCCTTCTTGAACATGACCAGTTTCTTTCAAGAGATTTCTCAACCATAATGCTTCACAAACTGCAGACGAAGCTGCTATGTATTCAACTTCACAACTTGATAGTGCCACAACTGGCTGTTTTTTAGAACTCCAGGTAATAGCAGTTGAACCTAGATAAAATACATATCCTGATGTACTTTTTCTTTCATGTTGAGCTCCAGCCCAATCACTATCACTATCTGAATAGCCGTATAACGTTGCTTCATCTCCATAAGAGTAAAACATCCCATAATCTAAGGTACCTTTAATATACCTTACTATTTTCTTTGCAGGGCACCAATGTAATTCTTTTGGTGTTTCCATATATCTACTTTCTTTTGGTGTTTCCATATATCTACTCACAGGCCCAACTCCATATACAATATCAGGCCTTGTGATAGTCAAGTATCTCAAACTTCCAACTAGACTTCTATATAAAGTTGGATCAATCAATTTTCCTTCTCCAACTTTTGTCAACTTCTTGCGATGGGAATGCTCATGGGTTTGCATGAGCCCATTTTAAATTTCTCAAGTATTTCTTTGCACATTTCTTTTGTGAAATAAAAATTCCATCTTCACATTGCTTTACCTCAATGCCTAGAAAGAAGTTCATTAGCCCACAATTTGTCATTTCAAATTCTTTGAACATTGCCGCTTTGAAATCATCAAACATACTTTGGCTGTTGCTGGTGAATAATAGATCATCAACATATAAACTTACTATAGGAATATAATCACCATTCTTCTTCATATATATAGCATGTTCGTATGGACACTTTGATAAAACCATTCTGGATCAAGTATCCGTCTATACGTGTATTCCAAGCTCGTGGGTCTTGCTTTAGACCATAAAGTGCCTTTTTCAAACGAAGTACTTTATCTTCTTTTTCCTTGATGACAAAACCTTCTGGTTGTTCCACATAAACTTCTTCTTCTATAATTCCATTTAAAAATGCTGACTTAACATCAAGTTAATATATCTTCCATTTGTGATGTGCGGCAAGTGAGATCATCATTCTTACGGTGTCTAAACGAGCTATGGAGCAAACACTTCATCATAATCAACACCATACTTTTGCTTGTATCCTTTTGCTACAAGTCTTGCCTTGTATCTTTCAACGCTTCCATCTACACCTCTTTTTTATCTTATAAACCCATTTTACACCTATGGCCTTATGGCCCTTTGGCAATGTAGCCAACTCCCATGTATCATTTTTCTCTATTGACTGAATCTCCTTTTTCATAGAGGATATCCATTCCTCTTCTCCTAATGCTTCTTCAAAATTAATGGGTTCGTGGTTTGCATATAAGCAAAATAAATCAACTTCATTAACTTCATTTGTCTCTTCATATATGTCTCTTAGACTTCTCATTTTAACAGGTGTTTTTGATGTTGAATCTGATCTTTCAGTTGATGGCGATGATGATGATGAATCATTATTATTTGTTAGAGTCCTTGGCTGAGTTTTTTCGGAAATATCATTATAATCTTCAAAAACAATTTTCTCTTTTTCTTTTTCCCTTTCTTGATTATCCCATTTCCAAGATTCTCCTTCAGTAAAGATTACGTCTTTACTCTCAATCAGCTTTCCAATAATTGGATTGTACAGCTTATAAGCTTTAGATTGTGAACTGTATCCAATGAAGATACATTTTTCACCTCGGTAATCTTACTTCTTTCTCTATGCCTCGGGTATTTGAGCATAGGCTATGCACCCAAATACTCGAAATGTTCAACATTTGGCTTCTCACCACTCCATGCTTTTTGTGGTGTCATATTCTTTACACTCTTTGTAGGACAACGATTTAGAATATAAGTTGTCCATGCAACAACTTTTGTCCATTGGCAATCCTCTTTCTTTCAAAATGCTTCGCATCATGTCTAGAATTGTTTGATTCATCGATTCGGCAATTCCATTTTATTGTGGTGTATAGGAGGCTGTAAATTGTTGTCTAATTCTTGCATCTCTATTGAAATATTTGAATATATTTGATGTATATTCGCCCCCTCGATCAGACCTAAGTGTTTTCAACTTACGTCCACTTTCTAGCTCTACTCGAGCCTTAAATTGTACGAATGCTGACTTTTCCTTCAGCATATACTCCCATAATTTTCTACAATAATCATCAATGAAGGTAATAAAATAGCGATTACCTCCTCAAGATATTGGCTCCAATGGTCCACATATATCTGTGTGTACCAATTCTAATGGTGCTTTAGCTCTCCATGATAATCCCTTTTGGAATGGAAGTTTAGCTTGTTTTCTAGTTGTGCATATTTCACAAACTTCAATGGTAGGTAATCCATGCACCATATTCTTTGATTGCAAAACTTTTAGACCATTGAAATGTAAATGCCCAAAACGTTTATGCCATTTCCATGACTCATTCTCCATAATATCGTAGAAACACTTTTGAACCTCGGTGTTAAGTTGCAGCGGAAACATGCAATTCTTCGTCATTTTCGATTGAGCAATGATTCTTCCACTATTATCTTTTAGTTGAAGATGATTACCCTCCATATGAACAATATATCCTTTTTCCAAAAGTTGTCCAATACTGAGAATGTTACTCTTTATATTTGACACATAATAAACAGTAGAAATGAATTCTTCATATCCATTCTTAAGAAAAAAATTGTATTTTTCCTTTACCTTCAACTTGTAGTTTGGATGAATCTTCCAAACTTCCATTACCTTGAATCTTCTCATCAAGGTCAATAAAAAATTCTTTTTTCCCACACATGTGGTTGCTAGCTCCAGAATCGAAAAACCACGTCTTGCTGATTTCTCCCACACATGTGGTTGCTAGCTCCAGAATCGAAAAACCACGTCTTGCTGATTACTAGCTTCTTCATGTGCCAATAACAATGTAGGACTTTCTTCATTGTTTCTTGATGATTTAGCAAATTTTAATCGATTGCCTTGATCATTTTGTTTGCTCCAATAGTCAAATGCATAATGTCCATATTTTTGACAATTATAGCACTGAATGTCTTTTGATTTACCGCGTTCGTTGAAACTCTTTCCTCCACTGTTTGACCCTTTCCCTTGGCTAAAACTTCTCTCATTACTTTGGTTGCGAGGTTGGTAGTTACCACGACCTTTTCCTCGTCCACGAAATTCGCCTCGTCGATTTCCACCTCTTTGTTCATTTAATGACAACTTTGATTTAAGTGCCTGCTCTATAATACCTGGTTCATCATTCTTCTGAATTCTTTGTTCATGTACTTAAAAGGATCTCATAAGTTCTTCTATTGATAATGAATCAATATCTTTTGATTCTTCTATCGTAGGTAATACATGGTTAAATCTTTTATTGCATGATCGAAGTACTTTCTCAATAATCTTTTTATCTTCAATCTTTTCTCCATTTAATTTTTGTTGGTTAACATTTGTAAGTAGGTGAGAAAAATATTCAGAGATTGACTCATTACTAGTCATTTTGATTTCCTCAAATTCACCTCGTAGTGCTTGTAAGTGAATTTTTCGAACTCTCTCGACTCCTTTAAATATAGTTGTAAGATTATCCCAAGCTTCCTTGCTTGTGGTTGCATTTGAGATTTTCACAAATGTTTCGCGGTCTAATCCTGCGTAGATAAAAAATAGTGCCATTTGATATTTCTTCTGATTTTCTTTCAACTCATCTTTCTTCTGTTTAGTTAATGTCGCTTTTGTTTCATCCGATGGATTTTCAAACCCATCATTAACAATTTCCCACAAATCTTGGGAACCAAATGCTTTCATTTTGATGCACCAATCTTCATATTGGTCTTTTGACAATTGGGGTACTTGTGGTTGAACAAAGTTTGTAGACATTTTGGGATATTGCAAATAATGTGGCTCTGATACCAAATGTAGGAGTTATATCAATTTACAAATTGCTAACTCAAATAATAATAAGGATTATATGAAGGAATAAATGTGGGTTACAACCCGGGATAACAATATATATGAAATATTTAAAAAATTATATATTTTGTTATCCCGGGTTGTAACCCATATTTATTCCTCCATATAATCCTTATTATTATTTGAGTTAGCAATTTGTAAATTGATATAACTCCTACAATTTGAACTTATGAGAGATATAAGATATAAAACTAAGGACAAAGTCCAAATTGCCATATAGCAAAAGTTTTCGTTAAAGAATGTTTGATGAGGAAAAGAACTGGGGGTAAAGGTATATATCAGTGGGAGTAAATGTAGAATTTTAGAAGAATAAAAAGGTCAATATATTAACTCCTGTTGAGCAATAGTCCAATGCAGGTTTCTATCTGAATGAGATGTACGACTCTTCTTTCCTTGAATATCAATTTTAAAATCACACCTTGAGTTAGAATAGTGTCCCTACTAGTTTGATACCTTCTTCAATTTTTTTTTTTTTTTAATTTCTATTTAGTAAATTAGCAAGAAATTAGTTTACAGAAAAGTTCCAAATAAAGCAGAAACTAATGTACTGTTTAACAAATGTAGAGTTAAATTTTTTATGCTCAAGAAACTTCTGAATCTTTGTGTATGCTGGATATTAGAAACTTACTGTCTGAAAAATTATCTCAAAAGTCAGTCAGAGAACCTTCATGCATTGGTACTCTGTTACTTTTCCTGTTTTCCATTTATAAGTTTGTTCTTAGATATTTGAGAAAGGAAAATAACAAAATTTATAACAAATCGTTTGTAAGATACTGTTCCATTCATTGTATTACTAAATCTAGGCAATAGAGTTCTGTCAACCTCTTCTTGAAATTAGTGTAACTAACTATACTACTCAGCACGGGCTTAAAGTTCCTTGACCAAGATACACTTGTTGATAATGCAGATAATTTTTGGCAATAGATGGAGACATCTTGTTGGTGAAAGAGATTTTTGGGAGCATGTTGGAGGAATTGATATCTACTTGACTCCTTCTAGCTTTGGACAAGCAAATACACGGGTATGATACTGTAATCTTGAAAAGACTCTCATTCTTAATGAGATGGAGTGATGTATGTATAATTCAGTTTGCTTTAACATATACTAAGCATTGTATTTCCTGCCATTTTGGTCTAATCTACATTGGTCCTTTTTAGGTCATTTAATTCATATTTATAATTTGATCAGTTTGGTATTATGATCATAAATTTTCGAAGTCTTTGGTCCATTATGGAAGGACATAGATGCATCTTGCACATTTATGAAAGTAAACACAGCTTATTTGTTTTGGTCTTTCTGCAGACTTAATTTTTTTTTCTTTATTGATAGGCCTTTGATTCATTGCTCCGCAAGTTACATAAGTATGTTCCTTATGGTTCAGCAGTAACTGATTTATATGGAGGAGCTGGTGTTATTGGATTATCATTAGCCGTTGCAAAAAAATGCAGGTAAGAACTTGTCTTTTATATTCAAGGGCTTATTCTCCTCTTAGCTTATAAAGAAAAAGAATCCGATTCTCATCTTTTAATGTAATTCTATTGTCTTTTCTGCACCTCTTTTTCATGAGGTTCTCAGAAGTGTCAGGTGTGTTGAGATTAACAAGGAGTCAAAGCACTGCTTTGAGAAGACAGTCAGCCGTTTACCAAATGTTGATAGCAACATGAGCTGGCATAATGTAGATGCTGCTCTGGTAAGCTTTGGTCACTATAATCACTCGATATGTACCTTTTCACTTATTGGAATTCCTGAATTATACATTTACTGGCTCAAGGCTGTAGATTTTTGGGTTAGGAGGTTCTATAAGACCGTCCATGGTGTCTATCACAACCTCTAAAGTTTGCATCTGTATTTACATGTGATAATGATTGCGATCACTTTGACATATAAGCTATGTTCTTGCTTGTTCTAGTTAGCCACTAACATGGTATATCAATTATCTGAAGGCAAGAGCCTTAGTTCTCTTGTTTTTAGTTACTGACATGGAAAATGTTTGGGTAGCTGGCGATAGTGTATTGTATGTAGTGAGTTTGATAGAACTGTTTTGAGATGTTTGCTGTTGCTTATAAAACTGCTCTGAGATCTGTGGGCAAAGAAGATACTAATGTAGAATGGGTCACGCCTTGTGAAGCTGCTTAATGTTTGAAATGCCAGTATTACAGGAGTGTTAATTGCAGTGAAAATCATTCATGACCGATTGTGTTATGTCCCTTGAAAACTCTTTTAGCTATTTAAATGATGTTTTGTTTATATGATAGTATGATACTAGTAAGTTAAGCATTTTATTGGTGCTGAACCAGTTAGTACCTTTATCTCACTGTAAAAGATTTTAGTTTTCCTAGCAAGTTCATTTGCATGCAGGATGTGACCATTTTTTAGGGTGCATTCTAGTCACCTGTATCAGAATGTATCCGAACTTTATTTATTTCAGCAATAAATTGAACTAAAGTAACCCTTGTTAACCCTAATCTGAATTTATCAACCTTTATTAAAACTTTATTTTTTCGGGAAATAAGTGGAAACAAGGTGAGCAAAACAGGGCCTTTGAGTCTATATTGAGGTATATGTGGTACTTCTCACAGAATTTGTCACGCACAGCAAGTGCATTGATGCTTGCATTCTATATGCCTTGTGGGTATATTTAATGCAACTTTATGGGACTTTGGTTTTAACAAAGAAGATCCCTGGCAGTTTTATCTTTTGTTCTTGCTAGTAAATTCTTTGGCTTGATGGGGAATGTAGAGTAGATTAGAGATGGACTTGATACTACTTTGATAGCAATTGAATTAGAGCTTTCCCTGATGTAGAGATCTTGCTTATTGGCACTGTGGTTGCTGATATTCTCACTGGGGTAGAAAATGATGTGCTAGATGATTTCACTTCACTCTTAATCACCTCCATCCTACCTTCCCTTTTCAATCTATCTTTCTTTTCCATTTCTCCTTTTGTTTGGACAGGGTGTGAATAGAGCTTGTGATTCCGTGTGAATAGAGCTTGTGATTTATTGATGTCTGTTACCTGGCCAGGAACCTCTTTCATGGTTGGTGGGATCTGATGTAATTGTGGTTGATCCTCCCCGAAAAGGGCTGGATGACTCACTGCTTAGTGCATTACAGACTATATCATCAGTAAAGCGCAAGGCAGTTGCTTCTTCCAGGTAGTCACTTTCTTTCAATATGGCCGTGATATTAGGATCAAGAATTTCACAGTTCTTTACTCGCTCATGAACTAAATGCCTGAAACTCATTTCAATTTGCTATTTCCTTAATTTGTAGCTCTCCCTCAAATTTGAAAGAGGAAAAAAGACCATGGATCTTGCGAGAAAGAGAAGCTTCTGTCAGTGTACAAGGCTCAAATAGGCCAGATGAAAGTGATGTGCTTCCTCAAACACTTGTTTATATAAGCTGTGGATGGGATAGCTTCAAAAAGGTGCTAAAATCATACTTATTATTGCATTGGACATGGACTTATACTATGCTTTAGTTTTAAACAATATATACTAGTCAGTTTCTAATTTCATAGTTAATCTGCAGGACTGCAAACAGCTGTTATCAAACAAGGCTTGGCTTTTGGAAAAAGCTCATGGCTTTAACTTTTTTCCCGGAACACAAAGGTAAGCCTGATTTGCATCTACATGTTAACCTTCTTGAGTATTTTCTAATTATATGTGTGTTGGTTTATCCACGCTCGTATACTTCAGAGAATCATTCATTTGATAATTAGCAAGTTAAAATTTTGCTATGTTCTCCCGTCAAAAAAAAAAAAAAAAAAAAGGAGCAATTTAATTTTCAATATTATTTCAAGTTTGGACTACACCAATTCTGTTCTGACTTTTTTTTTTGGGTGAAGAATTATGTACTTGTCTGGTCATGGTTATGTACAGGGCTTTGTTTGTACTAAATTGACCAAGGTTTAGCATGAACTTGTCCACTGGAATTTCCATACCCGAGAACCTGAAAATAACCCTTCTCCAGGCCCCAACATCCTGATTCTGTGTCTATCTACAATATTTGTGCATGCTTGTGTGGATATGCAGTGTGTTAGGATTATCTACAGTAGAGAGAGAGAGAGAGAGAGAGAGAGAGAGAGAGAGAGAGAGAGTTGTGATTGAATTGTGATTGAATTATACTTCTGTTTGATATGATTAATGGGAGTGTCTAGCCACTTGGAAGGCCTGGGGTTGTAAAATTCTTTAGTGATGATTTAATTGCATTGCTAATACGTAGCTCAACCATATATCAAACTTCCCCAAATCCTCTTCTTCATTTCAATTTTTTTTTTTTCTTCATTTTCTATTTATTGTGGATTGCTTCATTGTAAGTTTTTATCCATGATGCATATTTCAATCACTCATTCCTGGAAGTTTTAGCTACCCTACACAGAAACGACGTTGAAAATCTAATGAAGTTCATGTACTCCATATTAATAATTGTTCATGTCTCTCTATATTTTCTGCCTATCACTGGGTTTAGAGTTCACACTCTGGATTAGTTGGTAAGATGCAATTCCATTATTAAGGTAATAGTTTGGTCTCATTTAAAATATATGTTGGAAATGTGGAATAGGATCCTATTTTTACTAATGTTTGCCTTTAGTTACTTATCTGGGTTTGACAAAACACTTGCAATGAAGAAGACTATATTAGCTTGATGCTTTGGTCTTTGTTCAAATGCTCTACAAGTCCCTCGTCTTGTTTAGTGTAGCAAAGCCATTGCTAGAACATATATAGACAGATTTTGTTCCAACTTAGTTTGAGCAGAGTCTATGGTATCTGGAATGTTCATGCATGGCCTCTGAATTGTATTTATCTTTCATATTATCATTGCACATTCATCGGAAGATTAATTGTTTCTAGTTTATTCTGCTCCCCTCAAGTAAACTGATAAGTAATAGTCTTTCTTTTAAAAAGGATCAAGTTGATATTGCGCGATGATGCTTTTTCTTAACTGACTAATAACTATATTCTATTTTTGTTGCAGTATTGAGGTTTTGGCCATATTTAAACGAGGTTCTGGGTCGAATGATAAAAAAAAGGCATCCAAAAAAATAGAAGCCTAAGAAATCATCACAAGGATAATCATAATACTGTATATCTGCATTTGGCTTTAGTTGTTGCGTCAAGGTCTTGGACTTACCCAAGAGTGAGCCGATGTTGGACCTTGATAATGAAGGCAAGGGAGAAACCGCTGAATAAAAAAGAGACGAAGCATTGACTAATGCCTCTATGTTTGAATTCGGGCGTGTATGTTTAGCAACATAGAAGCAGAGTAAAGCCAGAAAGGGAGGAAACTGTACAAGAAATGTTGAATGTGAGCAACTATTGCAGTGCTGCTTTTGTAGTAAATGTGTTCCTTTATAGATAGATAATATGTAATATGTGGGGAGCCTACACAAACTGTACTTATGACTATTCTTTAAAATTTACAACCTTGTACATATTATATCGGAACAAAGAATGCAAAATTGAGAGCTGTGGAAAAAATGCAATGCAAATCTGTTGATTCGAGGAGACAAATTCTGCACATCTGAGCTTTTGGATGAATTCATTTTTGCTTTTCCCTGCCTTTGGCTCTTGCTATGTGAGGGAACACACTCTGAATGTTGTGGGCTCTCAAATCTTGCCTTGTTAAGATTCCGATCACAGGATATATCTGCACAAAGAAATAAAACCATCTGATTAGATGCTGAATAAAGTGACCACTCAGAAAGCTGTTCTTTTTCAACTCCTTGGAATATGTCACCCACAAGGCCAAAAGGTTGTATTCACTAAGATTTTTGCAGGTAGTCAGATGTTTTATGAGATATAACAGGTTGTAACTTACCCCATCACCTTGGTACTTCGGTACAATGAGCATATGGCGAAGTGCAACCTGCCTGAACAGTACCATTGCCTTTGCGGCTGACATGTCCTCTATCACGGTATAAGGAGTTTTGTTCGTGAAAGGGTGCAGATCAACATACATGCCCATTTCATGCTTTTCTATGGCTACTTGTTCGAAGTTCAGGTCTCTTTCGGCTAATTCAACCCAGGTAAATTTCTCTCTTACTTCCCATTCCTCTGTTCTTCTTGGCTGCTCCAGAAACCACTTTTTCTTCAGCACAGCTACAAGATGAGCTCTTAAAATTAGCCCGTGCAACTCCCTTGCCTTTATATTGCCTCTTGTTGGGATTGTAGTATGATCATCTATGACAGGGAAACCATTGTGTGTAGTATTTTTCAAGACATCTACAATTCGAGATACCTTCTCAACTCCTCGAAGGCTAACTACTGGAGGCTTCACATCAGCAAGCTCTCCAACAGTGATATTTCTCATCCATGGTTCAGGATTTGCATCTAAGAAAGGTAGGCCTTTTAGATCTAGTATGATCTCATAGATACTCAGGTTGAAGCAATCTCCCACTGATTTTGCAATGAGAAGCACGAGCATTGTTATGGGGAGTAACAAGAGGTTGTTGGTGAGTTCGAGGAAAATCACACAAAGTGACACAGTCATCCTCATCGAGCCAGCCATGAGAGATGCTGCACCTAGAACTGCATAAAGCCCTCGATCAATCTTTGTGTAACTTCCCATGGCAATGCCAAGCAAACGGCCATATGCTGAACCTATGAGAATGATAGGTAGGAAGAGTCCAGAAGGTACGGCAATGCCAAGGTAAAGAGTCCCAGGATACAGTACAACACAAAGTATATCACGAGAGTGATTGGGCGAAACTCTCCTGGTGTATTTGTGGAGAAGATATTTCGAACAGCATCATCATTGGTAGAAAACAGTAAGCTGGCAAGGTCATTGTAATAGCCTTTTGGGCAGTTGAATCTCTTGTAGTTCCCTGTTCTTCCTGTCGTGGAGCAGTCAAAATTCGATAGGGACGGATCACATTCTGTGCAACTCACAAGGAAGGGCAAGCCATACATACACACAGAGGTAAAAACTGAGACCGTAAGACTTAGAAGAATCTTTGCTAATTTTCCCCTCCTGCAGCAGGATAGAATATCTTCAGAAACATGGATCAAAACTCAATAGATGATGGCAATGCAATTTTATTTTTTGGTTACAAAAAGAATGTTTTATGTTTATGTCCAAAGAAATGCACCATCACTTGTTTCCTTGTCATTTGATCATTAATTTCAACATTATGAATGTTCATTTAAGTGAAGAAACAGATTTGTGGAAGAACTTTATGAATGAAGATGGTAGGATATTGCAAAAAGTGGCTTAATCCCACAATTTGAAAAAGAAACTGTTTAAAAAGAGAGTGAAATCGTCTTTATAGGAGAGACTTCTGCCCATGGGGAACTTCCCCTGTTCCCCGTGAATTGCTGTGGACATATATATATTTTCTATGGACACGGTAGGTGTAATTTTTGGATTTGACCTCAGAAAGTAAAATAAGCGAAGTATAAGCCAGTATTATATAGAAGTTTTTTGAGTTTACAATGCATAAAGTAATATGTGGAACTTTGAAGTTAACTTATATGTTACAGACATGTTAGACTTTATTTTAAGTGATTATGTAGTGTGATTAGAAGCAATGATCTAAGAAGAGTATACTTGATAATGATAAGTGTATCAATCTAAGAAGATAAGTAGTTAGAATCTCGTATATCCTAATAGATTTTGAAAATTATACCCCATCATTAATTCCTTGTCTAACAAACGTGATATAAAAACTGAACAATATAGTTCCTTTTTGTATCGATTTTGTTTCTATGACCATGAAAATTATGATATATTCAGGTTATCTAGAATCAGATTCGATGAAACAGTGGATTAGTTCAAGAGATCAACATGGTTTATATGTTGCTTACTCGTTAATGAGATTGTAAAGTCTGAGAACTTTGTGCAGGGCATAGTTGTAAAGACTTCCGAGAACACCACCAATGAGTCCTATGAGGGTGACAGGGATGATATCCATCAGATGGTAATGCACAATAACATTGCTCACATCAAACATGATGAGTCCTCCTCTGCCAAAAAGTCCACATTCTCCAGAGCTGCAGTACTCAATGACAGTCCTGAGCACTACAACCACAACTGCTGTGCTGAAGAAAGTTCTCCAAAGAAGAGCACTCCTCCACCACGTTGCCACTTCTTCCAGAGCAAAGAGAACCCCTCCCACTGGGGACCTAAAAGCTGCACAAACTCCTGAAGAAGATCCACAGGTGATTAGATCTCTCCGATCCCTGTCATTGTTCATGTAACGATACCACCGCCATTTAACGCGATGCTTTTCTGTTCCACCCTGGCCTAGTAATGAAGCAATGCATGCTCCTATGTGCACTAAGGGCCCTTCTTTGCCAAGGTCCAAGCCAGCAGAGACTGCTCCTATGCTCCCAAATATCTGACATAGAAGAAAAAAGTAACATCTTCAGTCATCATCCAGGTATTAGTTCCTCAGTTTGATATTTCATTCATGTACTCTAGTACCTTATATTTTACATAAGTAGACCTTTGCTATTCTAAGAAATAGATTTGTGGCCATTATCTTCGTCAAGCTTCATTATTTCTTTGTTAGTCTTTGAACTATTATCCACTTTTAATAGGTTCTCTTGGGTTTTCCTACTTTTCTGGTGGGGGGAATGGGATACTTTTTGTATGATCATAAGGTATGAAAAAGCATGCTCAGCCAAATAAAGCCTTTTCCCACTATGTGCAATCATTGGCATAGATACTTTGAGCTACAGTTAATAACAATTAAACTCATACCTGCAACTTTTTTCACCAGACAAAACTAAAATTTCCTATAATTAAGAATACAGAAAAAGAAGACCCCAGAGGCGGAACTCCACAAATTTATCTTTTGAAAATGTAATCATGTGTGAATTATTAGTCAGTGTCAGAGATATGACATATTATTAATGTCGAAATATACATTGATATACTTTCCGATATCAATTATATCTCACATCGCTAATGGTCAGAATCAGATTCTCTTTCTAATCTTATTGAATCAAACATGGACAGAGAGGATATGAGAATAACAGAACAAACTAACCTTAACAAGCAAGGTTGGTAACCCATACATGTTTGGGGTATCAATACCATTAAGGTATGCTTTGATTTCAGGTATACCAGGTCCAGCAGCAGTAGGAGCAAAGAAAACAACTAACACTGTAGAGCTCAGAGTCAGTAAAAAGTTAGCTCCTGTCAACACAATCAACCCCATCATAAACCTGCACCCAAAAAATTTACCCTCAAATTTAGTGTAAAATATTTTAATCTTTATTTATTTGAATATAAATAAATAAATAAATAAATAAATAAATAAAAGATTAAACAATCAGAAATACCTTTCCTGCTCAAGAAAGCCTGACACAAGAAGCAACTTATATCCAGAAATATTCTCAACTGCAAGATTTATCAGGGTAGCTATAAGACCAGTTAACAGTCCCACCAGAAATGCAAGTTTCCATTTCAAGAACACGTATTGTAATACTTGTATCTTAGATCGACTTCTCCAATCTTGTTTGAACAAATCATTCTCATTGATCCTGTAACATCCATAATAAAACAGTCTCTTACAAAACCATTATAACTTGAAGAGAAACAAGATTGAGTAAGATTAGAGTGAGAAAACCTACTCGTAATCGAGGCTTTCCATATACGAAACCTTCGCTCCCACCATAGCTAAGTGACTAGCAGAGAGTGTTCTGTTTCTCTTTAAGAGCGGCTGATGTAGGAAGTTGTTTTCAAGGTCTGCTTCTCCATTTACAGAAGCCTCATCTGCTTCCATATTTTGCTGAGTGAGAGCCGTCTCGTCGTCTATCGCATTCGAGTTGGTTCTGTTTGATGGTGGTTCTCCAGTTTCTTCCATGGCTATCCCAGGTTTTTTTGATAGGCAGTCTTAGTCTTCTCTGCTTCTCAACCTTTTGTTCATAAGTTTCATGAATTAGGTGTGGCTTATATCCCACATTTCATTGATTGCTTGGATAAAGTTACGTATATGTGTATATGTGTATATATGTTTATATTTTATTCTTTTTACTGTATATACTATTATAATATTTTCTCAAAATATATATATATATATATATATATATATATATATATATATATATATAGGATTAGGATCATGTAAAAACAAGTCTTAGGGTGAAAAACATGAAAAACAATTAATCCCAGCCGTAGATTATAATCTAGCGGATGATATTTAATGTATATATATCCTAATT